TCAAGTGGCAATAGGAAACTATTTTAATGAATTCTTCTTTTTTTCTCCAAGGCTGTACGATGTAGGAAAAAAAAATAAAAATAAATTGCTTCTGTTTTAATTGTCATACGTGCCTAGAATCTAAAAAAAAAAAGAAGTAAAGCATTAGAAATGACAAATTTTTATCTGAAATACTAGAAATAAAAATAAATCATATTTAGATAAAAGTTGATTGATTGATAAAATTAGAAAAAAAAATTATTTTTTTGAGTTTATTAAGCAGAATAAATACCTGTATTTACTTAATGATTATAAGTCACACATTTTTTAACCATACCAAAAAAAAAAGAGCTATAGCCCTGAAGGAGTCACTTCGATGAACTTCGGTCAAATATTTACTCTCACCTTACTTTCTTCTATTTAACAATAGAATGAATAATGGAATGTTCAAAAAAAAACCTCTGGAAGCTATTTGTAATACAAACAAAATAGTAATGCAATACTTGGAATATCATTAATGAATGGGTAATACTCATTCTATAATAGCAAATCATACAACTAAAGCATAATATTAAATAGAAATTATTCTATAAGAACCGAAAAGCGTAATTAGTTTGATTAAATAAATTATGTCATCAAAAAATATAAAATAACACGGGTGTATTCCAACAATAATTAATACCATAATCTAAAGTATAATTAGAAAATAATAGAGACGGCATATAAAAGAATTGTTTATCTGACCCATGGAATCCAAAAAATCAAAAAAAATTCCATGATTTTCGTGAATTTTATATCAAAAATACGAAAAAAAAGGCATTTCTAATGATGGGACAGACAAAACAAATAATGTTTTTCAAATTCATTGATGAAAAGCGACATTTTAATTAAGCAAAATGCAATGGATTTCATTTTTAATTAAAATCATGCAATGAAATTAATGAATTTGAAATACATTCATTTTTTTGTCTGTTTCATCATTTTAATGGCATTCTTTTAATTTATTAATTTCCTTAGAATTCTCATCGAACTATTTGATAAGTTGATTGTTTTGTATTTTGATATGCTAGTAATACAAATAAACCAGTCATCAAAGAAAAAGACAGTCGAATTTCTCCAAGAATGAGTACATAATCATAAACAAATATTACAACATAAAATTTTTGTTTACAAAAATGTATAAATATCTCCCGTGTTGAAACTAAAGTATGTCAATTTTATAAAGACATTCCATGAAAAATTCAAAGCTTAGAGAATATTGATGATAAACAATAAGTTATTGTCGCCAATGATGACAAACTCAAATATCTAACAATCGATCAAACGTTGTTAACAAGTGACATAATAGTTGAAAAAGAATCAAGATGAATTTTGTCGAAATGTTTTTTAGACTAAAAAATATATGAATATCGAATAATCCATCAATAACTCCAGTAATATGAATAGGTATGCCCAAATTGACACTAATTTTTAGAGAAGTCAGAGTAAATGACAAGCTTATTAATTTCATTAGGTTTATTTTCAATTTATGTTCGTTACCTTTAAAGATAAAAAGAATTCGGAGAATAGATTAAGTAGGAAAATTTATTTAGGACAAGAATATACGAAAATAAAAGTTCTTAGCCAACACCAAAAGACGAGATCACTAGAGAGTCAAAATAGTTTCCCAACGCCTAGGACGCCGAACTATCATTTTTCGTCAGACTATGTAAAATGCTAGACCAAATAACTCTCTACGAAATCAGATGTCTCCCAGTTCTCTACGACTGTGTTTTGCTGTGATGTGACAACCATACGGATAACTCCAACATTGGTTTTTAGTCTATTGTCTAGGGAAAAAGGATTTTTAGGTCTTTCATCAGATTGCTGTATTGCATGCGAAATGCGCTGCAGAGAATCTCAAGATATCTCATTTTATAGAGAATTTTTTAATCTGTTGCTCTACGTAGTTACAACAAAATAATAGTTCTATGTTGTAAGTATCCAAATCTAAGGCTTTGACTTTTCAAAGATTTCAACTTTGAAAATCAGCTAAAAAATTTTATTTTTATATATTGTTGTTGTAAATGATTTTCTCTACTCCAAACTCTATTCAGATGTTTTTGAGTGTTTAAGACAGCGTAAGTTATACCGTTAATTGTGGTTTTATATTTCTTTTTCTTTCGAGCATATTCGTTCCTATCATGAGTTTTTCGTTTTTATTCTCTCTCTCTCGACTGACGATGAAAACATTTTGTATGCATTCAATGCATTAATTTCTGAAACCACTACCCATGCAGAAAACGACGGAAAAAATCAATAAAAACCAGATTTTTCCGTCTTTTTTTACATGATAGTTATCTGTTTCAGTTATGTGTTACCTGTTAATCTGCTCCAATCTATTGTAACCTTTTAATCTTCTTCAATCTGTTATAACCTATTAATTTGTTTCAATTAATTATTGCCTGTTAATCATTTTTAATCATATACATGGAAAGTTTGTGCTTTTCTCGATATTCGAATGCGAAATCCTAATTTTTTTTTGAAATTTTTGGATTGCTCGCGTTTAGAAACCATCAAGTTATCACTAGGCTAAGGCTTGGCAAATAAAGTAAACTTGCAACTGCTATATAAATCGTCTCATATTGAGATGCTGCGATTATATTAATAATCGATTCAAATTAATTAAGATATTTTAATCGGTAACAGTCAATTGTATGCATAATTTTACCTTTCTTTATATAATACTTCTATGCATATGAAATGTTTTTGTAATTGGTATCCTCACAGATTGCACTCATCTCATATGTCTACTTCATTATTACTTTTTCAAATCGATTAAACATGATTCATGTTTTCGATAAACTTGCTATTGATCGAAATTAATTTTAATCGAATCATTTTATCTAAATTTTGCTTTGGATAAAACACTTATATGGTTCATAATCATGTATATCGTGTTTGTACTAGAACTTCTATCTTACTAAATATTACATGATATTTTTACCGACTATAGTTATAGAAGCAATTAATTTTTCGACCAAAATCCCTTGTATTAGCTCAAATCATTTGATTCTGCATAGGCATTACCGATATTCTTCAAAAAGCCTGACACTTAATTGAAAAGATTAAGATTGATCAAAGATTAAAACCAAATTACTACCATATAATAATGATCATTGATAATCAAAGAAAAATCCCTCAATTTAATTTTTACTTATTGAGATTTTAATCGATTGTCGATGAAAACCATATTACAACTAAGAAACTCAACAATAATCAATGTAATAGATTATTTTTTCAATCGATTTATAAATTTTAAACAATTTTAATCGCTTTTTTTTGAAAAAAGTGGTAGGTTCGTCCTAAAAACCAGACTTTTACATCGGTAATCAAAAATAATCATGATTTTCTTAGCAACGTTTTTCACTAAGTATAATATCAACATGGATTAAAGTGATTCCTTCAATCAGTCTAAAATGTCTATTCGATAACAATCTAACTCTTGTCAGGATTCAGAATCACAGAGTTCTAAGTTGAATTTTATATATAACATGTAACTTTTCATTTTGTACGAGTGGTAAAAAACCTATTCAAAAATAAATGGTACCTTTAGGGCGAAATGTGGTTCACATCTCTCTCTTTTACATTGTGGGTTTTGATGATATTTCAATAAAAAAAAGAACATTTTTTGCGGTTTTCATTGCCATGACAGAATTGGAAAGAAAAATAAACATGATGTTTAGAATCAGCGTCAAAAACTACATTGAATCGAATATATTTTGGAGAAACTTTTTTCTGTGCAAAATTCACTCGTGATCCCCAACGGCTATATTTTATTAAAACTTTGATTCATGGTTCCTCAAGCATCAGTTGTGCACAGGAAAAACAGTTTCTCTAAAATATGTTCGATTCAATGTGGTTTTTGACGCTGATTTTAAACATCATGTTTATTTTTCTTTTCAATTCTGTCATGGCAATGAAAACCGCAAAAAACGTTTTTTTTTCTATTGAAATGTCATCAAAACCCACAGTGTAAGGGAGGGAGAGATGTGAACCACATTTTGCCCTAAAGGTACCATTTGTTTTTAAATAGGTTTTTTACCATTTGTATAGAATGACAAGTTGCATACTATATATAAAATTCAGCTTGGAACTCTCTGATTCTGAATCCTGATAAGACATAGATTCTTATGGAATGGACATTTTAGATCGATCAAAAGAGTCACTTTCCACTTACAAGGTAGTTTTTGCTGTTTTTTCTCATGAGGATATGATAGTGATAAAAAGTCGGTGTTGACTAACTTTGGAAAGATAGGGTTGTTGAAAGCTAAAATTTTAGGGTTGCGGGTTTCAGACATCATTACATTGAATGCATAAAAAAAATTTTATCAAATGTCTCGTATATTCGATGATCTCATGATTTTTCTCTTAAATGTTATTTATATGTCCGATTGACAAAGCAGATAGCTTCTAATATCGAGAAAATCCAACGATTTGATTTGATTCATCGAATTACATCATCTACAATAGTGCTTAATAAAAACAAGCAAATAGAAGAATTATAATTTTCAGAGAAACGCATGAAGAAACCATCTTGTTTGATTAGAAGATTCAATCTAATTAAAATCAAGATAACAATTGAACGGGATCTAATACAGATACATTAATATTATCTAATATTTTGCTTGAAAAAATGAAAGAACTTTACATAAAATATATCTGTTGATCATATTTATAAGAAAAAAGCTTTTTTGTTTAAATGAATTCATTGTTTTAGAATGACTTAGTAATCAATAAATGGATAGTATAATCTTATTGTCAAATATTTTTCTTTATAATTTGATAGTAGATTTCTTTCTCATCGTCGATATTATTACTCCTCTCATCTTACGTAATGTAAGCTTAAATGTCAAATAATTAAAAGATAAAGATAAATGATTATCTTCATTACTATTTAAATACATTGTGACGATGACAAACATGAGTCTCATGTTCCATAAGATATTTGACAGCTTGGAAGACCTTCAATTATTTCGAATTCACCAGTATTTTCTATTTACTTTTTCATTTATAATAGTAATTGTATGTGATGATGAACCAGCACCAGTAGTCGAAGAAAAACTATTAACAAAAATTGATGATTGAAAAGGTTTAGGGATAGACTTAGAATTAGAAAAAGTAATTGATGATGATGATGTTATAAGTGTTAATGAACGAGGAGAGCTGCTAGATAAGAACATTTTTTTTAATATAAAGAAAGCTTTTTTTAAGGTTACAACAATTTTGTCTTTTTCTTTGTTTTGCTTTATATATTTCCTGTTCATAACAGAAATGTTTTAGCCAATGGAAGAATTAGATGGGATTTTCAAAAAAAAACAAATTAGTGAAAATACGCAACATTTTTTGAAAATTTTATCTTTTATTCAAAACTCGGCCTATGGGCGTCCATCACAATATCGAATCAGCCTGGCGCAGTCCACATTTTCGATTCAAAAATATTTCGGCTCATTGAGGCTTCTGATGACCCATTTCAACAGTCGAAGTTTTTTCTCATCTTCGTCAGTAAAAGTTGTAATGTTCCCTTAGATAGGGTATACATATATTTTTCTCTCTCTTCATTTATATACTTTTGTAGGTTTAGTATTGTACAGTGTACACTTATTATGATAGTATCAGTTTTTTCCTCTTTATAACATACATTACACCTTTGTTGGTTGTGAAAGGAAAAAAACTATAAGTCACACGTTTTTCATCAATAAAAAAAAAGATTTTCACTCAGATTAAACTTTTATTTTGACATCAACAAATATATTCGGCAATACATAATCTATATTGATGAGTCTACTGACTATTCTTCGTTCAAATGAATATATAAATCGAATTAGAAATAATCGTACATCTCAAATTTATATTTAAAACAATTTAAAAAGAAAACCGAGCTTAAGATTTCAATCATTCATAACTATTAATAATAAATTCTTTCATTTGATAATGTATTTTATATTTTTAGAAAAATCTTTCTCAAACATTCAATCTATGATTATTACTGATGTGAGTAAAATATCTAAAGCAAATAAAGTCAAATATAAAATAAACAAAATAGCAATCGACCATTCCAGTGAAGCTGCTACTGATTTTAATTGTGTTTGATTAGGTGGTCTTTTGATTAAACTCATAACTACAAAAGTAATAACCAAAGGTATAACCAAAGAAACAAATAAAACTCGTAAATTAATTGCCAGATTAATATCATTATGTGAGAATCGATAAATAATAGAAAGAATTGTCGATAGAAGAGTAAATACAATAAATAATCCTGTAAATGTATAATGAGCTCCTTTATAATTAATCGAATCAAGAATAGCTAGAAGCATAAGAGATATGCTAGCAATGATACCACATATAATAGACAATGTGGAAATATTTCGTTTAAATCGTCGTCTATTTTCCATATCAAAACAAAGTTTAGTAAAGATTAGTGTCAAAACAAAAAATATTCCAGTAAGAATTGTACCAATAATAAATACTGTCTTGTGTCGAGCACCAACATTTGATATATATACAACTTCACCATCATCATATTCATATCGAATAAAATTATCTTTGGCCCATAAACCAAATAAAGCAGCGATAGTTGCTAACCATATAAGAGAAGCAATGATTGAAGTCAATACACCAAGAAATTTAAATAATGAATGTTTCCCTGATAGTGATATCACACCTATAGACATTTTATGTAAAATAAACTATTGCAGTCATTCAGCTTCAAACACGTGCGAAATGTGTGTTTTAGGCATATCACCTAATTTTTCTTGTGCAGTACGATACAAGGTAGGTGTTTGTAAGCCACGGATCTCATTCTTGATTATGATTTAATACATAAGTCGTGAATGAAAGAAAAAGATCGAATGAATGAGTACGAAAACTCAACAATACTCTTATCGACTTCGTTGTCTTCAATAAGAAAATTAATGGACAAATATCATTCGAAAAAATGAAGGAATATAGAAATTCACAAAATAAAAAAAGGTTTATCTATCGATAATGAATTAAGCAATATTTCATGAAGAATTTTTATTATCATTATTAAATTTAATGAATGATGATGATGATCAACCCAAATCACGAATTTTGATATTTTTGATTTGTCTTATTTCATGCTAATCGAAAAATCTTTGTTTGCATTACTTTTTTTCTGAAAAATTCTTTATTCAATAGCAAATAAAAAGATTCTATAAAATTATTTTTTAGAATTAATAATGCTTTGAAAATTTAGTCATTTTGGAAATTGTGAAAAAACGGCTAAAAGAAATTTTTAAAGAAATATAAGTAATACTATAATGTTATTATCATTAACATGAGTTATCGTACATCATATTTCTTATTTATTAGGTGATTGTTTTTTATACTTTACGGTCGATTATAGTTGCTTATGTCTTTATGTTTCAGAATTCAGTAGAACATTAAAAACACAAAAAACAAATAAGAAATGAGCTAGTTATTGAATATAATTTTTCCAAAAATTTTAAACCAATAAAATTCGGAACAAGTTCCAGCCATTGGTTTTCTACATATATTTCGAAACACATGGTTTCATACCTTAGAGCAGATATCGATCATTTGGAACAATAGCAATGGTTCAGGTCATATGAAATAAAACTTTCGAGAATTTCCTATGAAATGATAAAAAACTCATGTGAATCGCTTGAATCGTTGAAGAATTATTGCAGTTTTATTTCATGGCTGACTTTTGAGACACCCTCTACACCCAAGTAGGAATTATAAGACTTTTAAGGTGAATCGAGTAGTAAATACACATAGACTAAATCTGATCTCCGATTCGGTATTTGAACCAAACAGTCCACGTTCGGGTTCGTATTCGATACGGCAAAGTAGCTTTTTACTTGTGAGATTTCTTGCAACACATTATAAATTATCATGACTGTAAACAACACATTCAAGGGAGAATGTTAGAGCAGATTGAATCTTTGATTTTGATCGATCCAAATAGCTACAGTATACAGAAGAGAAGATCATTTAGTAGATATACCATAAAAGATGTTTGCCTATATTTCAAGGCTTTACGAAAGATATAATGAGAAGTAAATGAACAAAATGAGAAAACATTCTTAATTATAATAATGCATCTAATGATGCCAAATTGTTTTGTCAATCTCAAATCGAATCTATAACTATAACTTTCGGGTTCGATGCATGACTAGTAGTAAATCTGATGAGTCTATTGAAGACCCTCGACATTTCATTTTAGGAATTATCATATTCAGAATTTGGATTGATTTTAATTTAGTATATCTTAATTTTCTATTATTGGTCATCACGGCACTGATTGAAAGAGCAGAAAACTTAAAAACGCACATAACTTTCAATAGACTCCAACAGAAAGAGGAATAAGTAATCAGGAAAGAAAATATCATTTAATACCTCAAATGACAAGCCGTCACATCTTCCAATTGTTGGCAATTAAAGAAGATGTGCTATTTTTATAATACAAGTAAAGATTCACACAAAACTATTAATTACTATTTTCATTATAAAAGAACTTCTTGTATGAACTCTTCAAAAGAAATCGTTCTTGTTTTTATTATCTAAAGAATATTTTGTAAATAAATGAAACTTTATTTTCTGTATATACATATAATTGTAAATATATCTCTTCATTCTTGAATTACCTTAATTTTAGAAATTTCAAAATAGTTTCGATGAAAATATCAATACTGAATAATAAATATTGTTAATATACAATCATAAAAAAATTTCTTTCATTGGAGAACTCATAGTTCTGAAAAAGTTAGATAAAATGAGATAAAAAGTATTTAAAAAAAATTAAAAATTCATATGCATCGTTTTTCATTATTTCATAAGTTCAAACTTTTCAATGAAGTGACAAAAGAATCTGAAATATCGGCTAAAGATTCAGCTTTCTTCCAGATGATATCTTCTTGTCTAAAAGATCTATAACTTTCTTGTTGTCTATCACGTCCTTTTTTTTATCAAAATAAAACAATAAGTTATTATTAATACAGTGTGTCATTCTTCGAATAGTTTTAAATTATTTTTATTTTCAATAGGATCTATGATTTCGAATCTTTATTTCTTCATTTAATCATTACGTTTCAGCTAATAGCAAATGAGTCAATCGGATAGAAAATGTATATTTACATTAAAAAAAAACAACTTCTAAAAAGTAATCCTATTATAGTCTGAAGATAAAAACAAATATATACAGTGCTCATTCAAATAGGCTTTTTTTCGATCAGATGTAAATCATAATGGATATGTAGTAGGCGATTGAAATGCGTAAATGTTTTTATCTTAATTATGATATTTAAAGAGTTTTATCACAAGTAGTTTATAGTCATGGTAGACGGATTAGATGTCATGGCTTATATCAAACTTATGAATGTTTTGCCAATAGTATGTTCATAAAACAATTGAATTTAGGAAAGAAATAAATTATCATTTGATATTTGAAGAATAATCTAAAAAAAACATTCACAGTATTTTCATCATTTCAAAGATATTTTAGATGATAAATAAATATACTTTAAAATCGATAGAATCTGTCATTGTTTTATTCAAGAAAAGTTTTTCTGCTTGTTTATCCAACAGATTGCTTCCGAATGAGTATTTTAATTTTACCATTTACGATGCATTTTTTTTGTTGAAATAATGGCTTTAGGCAAATTAATAAATTATTAACAGTAAAATAACAACAAAAAAATCTGTCGTTTTATTTTGTCTATGAATTATCAATGAATTTTTTCCTTTATATTCATTTTAATACTATGCTACGAGAAAATAAATTTAGAGATGCTATTTTGTCCTTTTCTTGTCAAACATGAAGAAACGGATGAATTTCCGATGACAGAAATTCCTCACAGTGGGATGAACATCAGGAGAAAAGATATCGACTTTCTTTTTTTTCTTTTCTGTCTGGTTTTTTCATGTCCATTAGAAAGAATAAATCCGTACTCACTTTACTGAGAAAAGAACAAGAAAAAAAAAAAAAAAGGAAGAAGAAAAAAATTACGCTGAGTTATACTTCTTTGGCATTGACATTATATTTCAAGAATAACGTGACTTGTCATATTATACAAGAGCAACAATGGCTAAACATTTATCTAAAGATGAGTGTAAAAAGGTACATATTTTGAAGTTTATTTTTTTTTAATATTATCAAAGAAATATTCTTTTGTTAAATAAAATATTCAGAAATATAAGATTTTTCTGTTAAATATAGTTATTTCAACGATTTGATAATGGTAATGGAATATTATCGTTGGCTGAAGTTGATCGAGCAGTTATCCATTGGTTTCCTGAATTTGGTACTAATCGTCAGGCTATGCTTCGTGCTTTTAAAACAGCTGATACGAATGGAGTATGTCTTATGTTTTTATTTTTGTTTTTCGCATAAAATTTATCTCTTATTAATAGACCGGATTTATTGAATTTAAAGAATTTCATCATTTAATTGATTTATTATATTATTATAATAAATTAAGTGATCTATTTGGACAATTAGATACAAATAAAGATAAAAGAATAAGTTTTAATGAATTTAAAAAAGGCCATGAACTTATTGGTCATACGAATATAGATGAAGGTCATTTAAGAGAAGAATTTAATCGTATTGATACTAATCATGGTGGATATATTTTATTTGATGAAGTTTGTTATATCTTATTTGGTTACATATCCTTAATCTTATAGTTGTTTATTCTATTTTTAGTTTTGTATCTATATGGCAAAGAAAAAAACCAAATGAAATTAATTGTTTTATTTCATGAAAAAACAAAACACATTTTTTTGTTGTATCGAAAATTTGTTGTTGTTTTTTGTATTCAGTGTAGTGAGTCATAAAATATACAAGAAAATAATACATTCTACTTAATGTTCTATTGTTTTTTCTTATCAAGAGAAATAATCAATAAATAAAGAATAAATTCATAAAACAAGTTTTACACTTATAGTACGTTTGAAATATTTATACCACATTTAATTATCAATAAATGATATCATCTTTTATATTCTTATTATCGCAAAATCTGTCGGATAAGATGTTGTATTTATTTTAATACAATTTTTTCATAGAGAATTTAGAAAGTTAGTGACGTTTTAGTATAGTTTACAGATTGAACTGAATGTTCTTTGATAAAGGAACTCTGTGAAAATGATGCTAAGTATACAATTGCATATAGAGTAATCCATGTTTAGGGAAGATGCATGATAAAAAAAAAATCATATATTTGTTGACCGTGAATTTCGTCAGAAGTTATAATAGTTTTTATATGTGGAATATATTGCAAATAGACCGAGATACATTCCTATCGATCTTGAATTGTAATAATATTATTTTCATTTGCTTGGAATCTATCTATTAATGATAAAATGCTTGTGAATCGTAGTTTTTGGTAGATGTTTCTATGGATAGCCAACCGAAAAAAAACACAAGGTTATCAGAAAATTGTTTTATCTGTAGGATTTTGTATAGCTTGTTGCGCTGATTGTTTTAGTAAAAAGAAAATATTCAAAAAGCTGCGCTATTCTTGACTGCGCCTGAGACAGTTGACGTTTTCGAGTATTTTGACCCTAGTATCTTTATTTATTGAGTAAATTTGAATATCTTTTTTTTTACCAAAATTATCAGTGCAACAAGCTCTACAAAGTTCTGTAGACGGAAAAAATCTTCTAATAAACTTGTGTTTTTTTTTGCGGTTGACTACCCATGCGAGTATCCATGAAAAATACGATTCGCAAGCATTTTACCGTTACTAATATGTAATAACAGCATGAATTCAGTTTATATCATAGAATGAGCAGAAAGAAATTCACGATTTTTTAAGATCCTTTGCAAAAGTTTTTCTTGATCTGAATCTCCATTTTGTTTTTGTAAGATCACAAAACTAGATTTTTGATATTAATGACTATTAATCAGTAATGTTCCTAATAAATAGTTTCGATTCTCAAGAGTCACATTTGATACAATTTTACTTGAATTCAAAACACTTCTGATCATGATTACGTACGCCAGAAGAAATGTATAATTAATATTGACATTGAGTCTGTTCTAGAACGAATGAGAATCCACATATCAGAAAATTGATGTTATAATCCAGCGATTTATTCCAACGCATAACAAAAACAAAAATAAATAATTCTTAAATCAACATAACTAAATATATCATTTTTATCGTGTAGGTTTTTTTTTCTTCACGATTGATTGTTCGCATTTATATCATCTTTCATGTTAAACATTGTCAATTTCCTTGTATTCGAATTCTAATGTTACCAAGATCAGATAGTTGAGTAATCTAAATTTATTTAATAATAAATTTTATTCTAATTATCGAATATTTTTAAATCATTAGAGAAGATCTACTTCTACGAATAATAGATGAACAATAAGTAATGTTTTTTTCTTATTTAAGAAATTTCAATATATTTTTATTAATTAAAAATAAAGATGAAAAAATTTTGATCTTACATGCTCTAGTTTTTCTTATCATTCATAATAAGATGTATTGAATATCTTTCGAGGTCGTGTAAGATTAATTTCAACATTCATATGACCGTATGGACACTAAAGAAATTAAAAAAAAATTAAAATTAAAAAAATTTCGTCAACTTACATGACGACATTGATTACCACAACATGTTCCTCGTTGTAAATGAGCATATCGAGTGAGAACTTCTAATTTTAAATTAGGATCGACATACATATTTTGACTATTCTAAATAATATTAAAATATTAATCAAATTCAATACTAAAATGCCTACAAGACATGCTTGACGATGAAGTAAATGAATAGAAAGTCGATCTTTTGTAAGACATGGAATAATAGTGACAGATTCCCATGCTTGCCATGCTGATCGACTTAAAGACTTAATACTAGACAGAGACGACGCCAGTTGAAACGATTTATTTAGAAAAAAAAAAGAAATCAAATGATGGCTTCTAACCACTATTCTTATTAGTTGTTAAAATGCGACAAATATTATAGATCAGTCTGTAAACAAAGAATCGACAGAGGACGCACATCAACGTATTATAATCTGAATTTTCTTTTACTTTTAATCAACAAAACAATTTTTAAATATATTCAGTTTAAAATATAAAAGAAAAATCTAAATCTAAACTGTTTAATAATGAATTGTAATGCTTGAATATTCGAAATAAATAAACTTTCTGAATTTTTTAAAAATAGGGTTTCATTTGAGATAATTATTTATTAGATTGAAATAACTTTTACTCGTTATTTCCAATTCGGGAATAAAATCATTATAGAGAGTAAAATAAAAAAGAATTAGGTGATAAAACTTAAAATAAATTAATTTGATAGAAAAGTCGTACTTTTCATCTTTATAAATAACATGAAAATCATACCTGCTAAAATCATGGTGACCAATGATTTGTCTTCTATCAAATTTTGCGTTAAATTAGAACTAAAAAGATAGAGATCAAGTCTCAGTGAGCTTGGGACAATAGAATTCATAACTTGAAGGACGATGTCGGTTTAGTGAAAAAAACCGATTCAATCATTTCCAGTTCCACTGAATTAATAGATCGATATATTAAAGCTTGATTGTCTCATTTTCTTACTTTTGTTTTAATTGCATTTATGACCCTTGTTGGAATAATTACCTTTGATCAGATCCATTCTGATGACGAAAAGGTAAAAAACATAAACTTGCATAACGAATCAGTTGTCGATTGATTGTAATGAAAATCTCTCTTTGACAAACATCTATGTCTTTAAAACTTAGAAGATACTTTCCATTAAAACCTTAAAATAGTCGAAGGTGGAGCTGAGCAATATATAATGTCGACATGGTTCTCATCAACTGATATATATATCGAATTGCGTCTCTTGAGTCTGATCGAACTATCCAACAATAAAATTTCATACGTAAATCACTGATATCAAAAATAGGCAAGTTACACACTTTGCATGAAATTAACATTTAGATATTATTGTTAGCCGTTAGAATATTCTTCTTACTTATAGTTGATCCATTGATTTATTGTATTTATGTCCTTGAACAGTTAACAAATCAAAGAGCGGGATGCTTTTCTTAACATAAAAAATTTCTCTTACATCGTTATTCGACATATATGAATAAGAAAGTTAATCATATTTTTATTTTACAAAGATAGTAACAATATATATGTTTATCAACAGTGGATAACATTTTCCATTTGTGTTTTTTGCTGGTTTAATATATAATTCATCACTCAAGGTTTAAGAGCAAACACTGACTATTTTTGTTAACAATTAAATAATTTTTTCTTCTCCTTTTTTCCTTAATTTTAAATAAAGTTTTATCATCTACAAATGGAAAAAGAAATACAATATAATATTTTATAAAAAATCTTAAATAAAGCAAAAAACTAGTGGCGTAACTAGTAGAAAAAGTTGTGGGAAGGGGCGCTCTGAAACCCTATTTGGTTGTTCCATTACAAAAACCTCATTTCAATATTTGTTGGTTGATCGAATTCATACGAAATGGTTAAAAATGCTCCTAAAATACTCGAACAAAGATAAAGAAACAAAATAGATAGTATCTGAACTGTCAAATCTTTTTAATCGTTTTTGCTAATTGAATTGCTTGCTGTATGCGAAGTGTTTTGCCATAAAATAGACAAAAAAAACAATCAACAGCAATGATAATAGTAATCAACATTGAAATAAATTAATGAATCTGTAGCTCTCATCTTATTATAATAACTCTGTAATATATACACCCAGGTCGAACTTACCCTTTCGGATCCGAGACAATCCGACAGTCGGATCCGATGGGATTCCGACCGTCGGAAACCCTCATTATCCGTTAATTTCCGGCGATGTCCGCCGTCGGATTCTGTCGAATTCCGGCAACAGGATCCGATGAGATCCGATAGTCAGAAACTGTCGGATCCGATGAAAACCGATGACATCCGATAGTTGGAAATCGCCGGATCCGATGATATGAAAACATGTATTTTTGTCTAGTCTAATTTGCAGAATGTGTCTAAAAAATATTTTGAATATTGTTTATGGCGAAGCCAAGGTGTCTTAACCAAGATAAACGAGTTTAATTAGCATTACTGTGCGGAGTAGAAAAATCAGATGGAGGTGTTATACTCCATGCAAAATAATGCGTGTATTTCCACGTATTATTAAATCCACTTTTAAAAGTAAATTCTTTTAAAGTTGTTCATCATTATTGTTTTTCTTACTCAGAGCTATACGAAGCAAATTTAACTTAAATAATTAAATCTTTTTTTTTTCTTTTTTGCACATCAATTTCAACATTGAAATTCAACCGTAAGTATTTTGTTTAATTAAATAATTTTTTTTCTTTATTTTAGGTCAATTTGAACATGAAAATGGAACCGTAAGTATCTTATTTAATTAAATAATATTTTTCTCATTTTAGATGAATATGCACATGAAAATTGAACAGTAAGTATCTTATTTAATTGAATAATTTTTTTTCTTTACTTTAGATCAATTTGAACATGAAAATTGACCAGTGAATATTTTATTTAATTAAATAATTTTTTTTTCTTTATTTTAGGTCAATTTCAACATCAAAATGAAACGGTAAGTATCTATTTAGTTAAATAATTTTTTTTCTTTATTTTAGGTCAATTTCAACATGAAAATTGAACAGTAAGTATTTTTTTCTAATTAAATAATTTTTTTTCTTTATTTAAGGTCAGCTTCAACATCGAAATTGAACAGTAAGCATCTTATTTAATTGAATAAATTTCTTTTCTTCATTTTAGGTAGGGGGTGCAACAAATCCTGTTTATCTGCATAAAGATTGTAAATTATCGGTATGAAACTCCCCCAAA